CAGCCGACACACCCTATACCCTAAACCCCAAACCCTAAACCCTAAACACTAAACCCCAAACCCGAAACCCTAAACCCCAAACAGTCCTCAGGATCCTGTGGTCGCCCCAGGATCCTCGGATGTCTCTTGTCGCAGATTTTCAGGTCGTGTAATGGAAAGGCCTTAAAGGTTAGAATAGGGGTTTGGGGATCCCTTATTATGATTATAGTAGACTATACCCCCAAACCCTGTTCGAACTATTAGGGCCTCTATAGTACAGCTATCTTTTGGGCGTTTAGGCCCATTGAGGGTCATTGTTTAGAATCTAATTGTAAAAACCGCCTGCAGCGGTCACTCCGAAGCAAGGTCACTGGCATGACACGGCTGGCTTTATCTCGGGGTTTTGGATGGCTTGTTGAAGCAAAAGTCAGTTCGCAGACTTGAGCCCGATCCTTTCGTTTCAAGTCCAACAACACCTGAAAGTCGACGATGAACCGCTAAGTAGACCCACAAAACACACCGGGAAACGCACTACATGCATGAAGCTGCTCATAGCTGCTGAGGTGCTGCTCCACTTCCTCGGCCGAGCCCTGCCCCGCGGCCAAACGCAACTCTCGCACCTGATGTTTGAGTACGATGGTGAGCCTTGAAACTTGTCTTGAACATACTACTACTACTACTACTACTACTACTACTACTACTACTACTACTACTACTACTACTACTACTACTACTACTACTACTACTACCACTACCACTACCACTACCACTACCACTACCACTACTACTACTACTACTACTACTACTACTACTACTACTACTACTACTACTACTACTACTACTACTACTACTACTACTGCTACTACGACTGCGACTACTGTTTACCACTGCTATGACGACTGTACGACTGCGACTTCGACACGGCTGGGGCCACGGCTGCATCTGCGACTGCGATTACGACTGCGACGATACGACGGGGAGATTGTAAGTACGACGACGCCGATGACCGCTGCCAAGCTACTACAACATGTTAATGTACGTGCTGCTGTGTCTGCTGCTACGCCACTAGCAACAAAGCATTAACAATTGCCGGTTCAGGGCTTAACCGAACTTGGGAGATCTATGAGGATTAAGGCTTTGGGATTTGTAAAGTACCGGGTTCGGGATTCCTTATTTAGGATTTAGGGCTAAGGGTTTATAAAAGGCCTAGGGTTTCAAGAGAGAAAAGGCTTAACTACAGTTTCAAGACAACCACCTCCGAACCTCTCAACCGCAAGTGCAAAACCGCTGCTTCAACCCCCAACACCTTGTGATAAACGAGAACCTTAGTGACCACGAAACCCCAAAATCCAATGTGCGCAAATCCTTATCCTTATCCATACACCCTCTCTGGAACCCTGGTTCAACCCCTGAGCCCAGAACCCTAAAAGCCTTAAACCCCCTAAATCCTCCAAACCCAAAGCCCTCAACACCACCAAAAAAAAGGAAACCCGAAGTTGCGCGCGCCGGGGGGGGGCCTTAAAGGGGTCTAGTATCGGGACCTCAATAATTACATATATGTTATTTTGTCTTCCTCATTATAATTATAGTATAAGGAGCCCCAAAACCCTATTCTAAACTATTAAAGCCCCTATATTGGGGTTTCTAAGGGTTTATTCATTTCACTTCCTTCAAGTGTCTTGGGTTTGGGGTTTCTGAGGAGGCGCCTGCTCAACGCTGCTCTTCGCATAGGGCACGAGGATGAGCTGCAACTCTCCACTCGGCTCTAGGGGATCGCCGTCCTTGCCGGGGTTTAGGGGTTTTAGGGGTTTAGGATTCAGGGTTTAGGGGTTTAGGGTTCCGGGTTCAGGGTGTGGTGACGTCATGGGTGCTCGCTGCTGTGTGCACACCCAGGCCGCTCGCACCTGTGCGTAGCAGATAGCCCACCCCAAGACCGCCCTGAGTTCAAGCATTTTAAGGTTTGGTTCTAAAGTCTTCTGGGCATTTTAGCGGAGGCTTGCCATAACCGACGGGGGCCGCTACTTTCAACCGGGCCCAGGCGGGATTGAAAGCAGCAATGCACGTGGGTTTTCTGTAAGTTTGTCCCTTTCTGTGTTGGGCTTATGTGGTGCTGCGCTCGCGGGTTCTCAGATGGGCTTTCGATAAGGCTGTCCTTGCGGGTGCCGGAAGAAGCAATGGGCTTTCTGGGAAGCTGTGCTGGCGGGAGTTATGATGAGACAAGCCACAACGCATGTGGGCTTTCTATGAGTCTGTCCCTTTGTGGATTTGGCTTTCTGTGAAGCTGTGCTGGCGGGTCGTCATGTGGGCTTTCTGTAAGGCTGTCTTGGTGGGTGCCGGAAGAAACACTGGGCTTTCTGTGTGCTGGAGGGAGTTGTGAAGAGGTAAAGGGCGGTGCTTGTGGGCTTTCCGTGAGTCTGTTCCTTTCTGGATTGGGCTTTCCGTGAGGCTCTGCTGGCGGTCCTCATGTGAGGCTGGGCGGGAGCTGTTATGAGAACAGCAGCAGCGCATGTAGGCTTTCTGTGCATTTGTTCCTTTCTAGATTGGGCTTTCTGTAATGCTGTGCTGTCGGGTCATCATGCAGGCTTTCTGTGAGGCTGTCCTGACATGTGCCGGAACAAGCAGTGGGCTTTCTGTGCCAAGGCGTGCTGGCGGGGGTTAGGATGAGACAAGCAGCAATGCATGTGGGTGGTTGTCAAAATTATGGTCCCTTTTTGGGTCCCTAATATAATACGGCACCTTAGTATTTAGGGTACCCAACAAGGGACCATAATTTAGACAACTACCCATGTGGGTTCTCTGTGAGTCTGTGCCTTTCTGGATTGAACTTTCTGTGAAGCTCTGCTGGCGCGAGTCCGAGATCGGCCGACAGCCCAATGTAAATGTCACATTTTGTCAGCAGAATTTGGAACAGAAGTCGAGCCCTCAGCGAAGATTTTAGGGGTTTGGGGTTTAGGGTTTACAGCTTAGGGGTTTAGGGTTTATAGGGTTTGGGACGAAGAAACCCTAAACCCCCTCAGTTCCCCGAGCCCTATAGCCGATAGCCTGCAGGCGTCAGTGGGATTTTTTGTTTCAAGGTTTGGGCCGGGCAACAAAGCTTCGGAGTCTGTCTTGGAGGCTTTGAGGGTTAGGACTTGGGTTTTTGGGACTTAGTGTTTTTATGCAAAGCCGTCCTGCAGACAGTTGCTCCCACAGAGAAGTCGTTGCCGAAAGCGCGGCACGCCACAAATGCCACTGAGATGTTGCTTCCTTGGAATCAGTTCGAATATGCCGCGGGCGCAAGAAGTTCTGCACATGCAGCTAGAAACGATCTCAGAACAATGTGTTAGCAACAGCAGCAGACACAGCATTCACAGCCCCAAGTGCAAAAGCACCAGTCATCGCCACTACAAAATCACTAGGAGCAGCAACAGGTGCAGCAGCAGCAGCGGCAGCAACGACTTGCACTAGCACGTTGGCCGGCACAGCTAACACACCACATGCGACAAAAGGCCGGTTACGACGCAATGCAAACACCTGCCTTATAACGATGGCCAAGCTTCAAGGCCTGCACAGGCCTGCGTGAGGCGGCATCGAAGGTTCAAGAGCTCAGAAAGTTGCCATGAAAGCATCTAGCTGCTAGCTGTGAATCTAGCTCTTGTCGCCTACTACCGTCTCTCCATCCGACTCGACAATCGGGCACCCCTCTGGCCACAAACCTTCCGACCTTCCCTTTGGCCTTCCAAAATGCCCCAGCTTGCTCGAAGTGAACACTTGCTTAAGGTGTTTGTCCGAGAACTGTTTCCAAGTTCGCTACAATCCGGCACCCCCCAAAACACTAAACCTTAGATGCAGGTATTCCTTAATGGCGCCCAGAGCTCATGGTCCAACACAGAACACTTGGACAGTGTCAGTTCCAGAGTCAGACTTTGGGGTTAGGGTTTTAGGGCTTGCGGTTTTAAGTTTTTGGGGTTTAGGGTGCAGGGACCCATGCTTCTTTGAGAAGAACAGATTGCTGCTCTCAGTGCGGCAGGACGAACCCAGTTGTCAAGCTCAAGAGGCATCCTGCATTGGACTATTGCGCACACCGTCGTCGCAGGGACACTGTTCGAGGGCTACATGCTATCGAAACCACTGGAGAACCCCTCATGCACGGTAATCTCCCTGAGCCCCTTCGCCGCCTTAAGCCCTACATGCCAAAACCTGGAGACCTTGGGGACTCCGCCAGCTGCTCGTGATGGATGGCGTGCTCCACACCAGAAGCGAGCCAGACACGCAGCATTGGCTCAGGGATATGGGAATTTGTGGTTTGGCCTTTGGCAGGCTAGGGCCTTCGGGCTTCAGGGTTTAGGGTTTAGGGCTTACTGTTGCTATTGCTATTTTCTCGTGGCTGTCACTGCCACTGCGAGATCCCGTTCTCACTGCTTCTGCTAGCTGTCATTTGCTGCTGCTATAATGAATAAGATGACGGCGACGATGGGTCCTATATGTACATACATACATACCTGCATGCAAACATACATACATATGTGTGTATATACATATATATATATATACATGTAGAGTACAAACTCATTTTTCTACCTGTTGTCTTGATCTTCTTCGCTTTTTGCTTGCCATGACTCCGTATTCTGGGGTCCATACAATGTTGGTATGATGCCTTGAGCCGAGAGGCTTCGGATTCTGGCCATTCGATACCTGTGCCTTGGAGGTCTGGAACGAAACCAACCTCCCCAACCTGAACCCTAAACCCTAAACCCCTAAACCCTAAACGCTAAACCCCTAAACCCTAAACGCTAAACCCCTAAACCCTAAACCCGAAACCCCTAAACCCTAATCCTGATCCCTGGAAACCTCAAGCTTCGCGGTTTCTTTTGTGGGATGCACTTGCTGCTCTTCCGGCCCCTAGAATGCCAAACCTTAAAGCCCTAAACTCAAAACCCTCAAACCGCCTGAAATCCTAAAACTGTGAAGCAAAACCCCTCTAAAACCCCAACGAACTCCAGAATTCCTCAAGAACGGGCACACTGAACAGGCCAAGGGTCATGAGCAGGTTCGTCACAAAGCGTTCCAAGAAGATCCCAACCTAGGTGCTTACATGTGGGCTTTCAGGTGGAGAGCATTGATAAAGGTTTCGTGAAGTTTAGGGGTTTAGGGTTGAGGGTCGGCACTTCGGGTTTTAGAGTTTCCGGTGTATGACTTCAGGTAGTCGGCTTTGATCGTTAATACTTCAAAGCGCATTGTTAAGGGATAAAACTGCTCTTTGCGGTGGTGATTCTTTGTGGCAATGTTTGTCAGTGCGGCCTCTGTATGTATGTACGTATTTTTGTATGTATGCACATATATATGTATGTATACAAATATACACACACGTACATGCATGCATGCATGCATGCAGACATAAAGACAGAAAGACGGACAGACAGACAGACAGACAGACAGACACACAGACAGACACACAGACAGACAGACAGACCGACGGACAGACAGGCAAGCAGGCAGACAGACCTAGCCTCATGCAGACATGCAAGCATACATACATACAGACATGCTTACATACATACACAAAAAACACACATACAAACAAACATACATACACACATAGATACAATACATACATACATACATACATACATACATGCAGACATGCATACATACACACGTACATACATACATAGACACGGACAGGCATACCAATATACAGGCATACAGACGTACATGCATACGTACATACAGACGGACATACAGACGACATACAGACATACATGCATACATACATACGGACATAAATATATACAGGCATACCTGCATACCAGCATACGGACATAGAGACATACAAACATACAGACGTACATGTACTGTATACATACAGGCATACATATATACCCACCTGTGCACGTATAAATGTGTGCATACATAACTATACATGTAGCTACATGAAATTGCCTATGCAAAAATATATGAGCATACATATATACAGATATATATATATATATATATATATATATATATGTCTATATCTCTACCTATGTCCATATCTATGATAATATACTTGCATATTTATTTACGCAAAGACCTACCCCTATCTACCTACGTACATATATATATATATATATATGTTTATACACATGTGCATGTGTGTGTGTGTTTGTCTGACTGAGGCGCCTTGCAGGGTTTGTTACTGTACCAGGACTGTCCTAAATCCAAAGATACTCCAGAAAACCACGTCATGGGGGGCCTACGTTTTTGTTTTGAATATAGCAACCATATCTTAGTTCATCATAGCAGCTTCAGAACATCACTAGTCCTAGTAATTATGTTTTCTGAATCCAAAGGCCCCAAACGCCAGAATGCAGGCCTCTTGACGGGCCGTGTCCGCTCTGAGCTGGACCCCAACCCAAGCCCCAAAGAAAACATGAAAATCCCTCTTCCTGCCGGCGACAATCTAAGGGCTCACAAAAGAACCCTAAATCCACCTTCCTGGCCAGAAACCATACGCTCTGGAACAGAGTGGCCTTCATAGCAAGAGTATGCCAAAGTATACCATAAGAGTATTCTTGTACATCGTCATGTCTTATCGTATGTTCCTGTGGTACATGTAGATAGAGAGTATCATTTTGCCAAAGCGCGCCCGCCCGGCTTCGAAAGAGCCAGCTGGAACGGACCAGCGCCTCGCCAAAGAGAGGCTCATTTAAGGTTTCGGGCTTCAGGCTGTTGAGGGTATTTTTAAATGCACTATGGCTGTTGGGGGTTTAGGATTTAGGGATTAAGATTCAGGGCTTTCGAGGTCTAGGATGAAGGATTGCGGAATCCCTAAGGTTGCAGGGTTTCGGGTTCAGGGCTGACCTTGGCTGTTTTAGGGTTTCAGGTTGAGGGCAGTGAGGTACATGTGCAGGGCCCCAAAATTGTAGACGGAGCCCTAATTTCAGGAAGCCCTCCCGTACTGAGGAATCTTCCTCAGATTACAACAAGCTTCCTTAAATGAAGGCATGCTAGTTGCGTTACGATTTGGACTGTAACAGTCACTGTAATGGGGATTTGCATGGCCATATCAGGTGTCGAAGTAAGCCAAAGGGCATGGGTTTAGGAAGCCCGAATGTCAGGACCTTGATAACTATCATGGGGTGGTGGGGTGAGGTGTAATACAATTATGTAGGAACTATGTGGGAATGCGAGTACCGATTATGCCGACCCCCACATTACGCAAACCCTAAACTCGGATTTCCAAGACGACAGCGAGGATGGAAGCAGAAGAGGTTTACGCTTTTTTTTAATGTGTACTTTAGGGCTTAGGGCCCCCTCGCCTGGTACACCTGCACGGACCCCTCCTTGATTGGCCGCATGTCCTCGCAACAGCTGAGTTACGCTTCGCCAGTTTCTCCGACCTGAACCCTACTCCCAAAACCGCCAGACCGCTAGACCTTTATCCTTTCCTAAGGGCCATTCGGGTTAGCGTGGACCCGGTCTGCATGACTTGTCAACTCCTCTCATCTTTCAAACCAGAGCATTGTCAGCATATACATAACGACCACTAGTCCACCATGTCAACAGAAATTTGCTCTGGATCCCTTGCTGATTCTTACACCCCGAATGCAAGATGCCGGAGTCGAGACTCCCAAACCCGAAACTGAGGCACGAAATGGACGGAGCACAAGTCCTTCAGGCGCAGGTAGAAGGCGTAGCCCAATGACTGGATCGAACCTGCCAGGCGCTGTCATCAGCGGTCATGGTTACCAGTATGACAGGGGTTGAGGTGACTATGTTCTTCCAACTCCCAAGATAACTCCAGTTAGGTTTGCTGTGCTGCGCCGGGTTGTCAAAGGATTTTCTCAAAGGAAACTGCGCAGGCATCGCTATAGGTTTGCTCTTGGCGACTAGAGCATCAGGCCAGGGTCTGGGTGATCCAGATGGGGGTTTCCGAAAATAGGGGACCCTAATATAGTACCCCAAATACTAGGATCCTTACCATAGGGACCCCCAAACAAGGTAGCCCTAATTTTAGGAAACTCCCAAACCCTAAACCCTTTATAGAAGCCTTATAGATCCCTTGAAGGAGCCCTTATGGATCCCTTTAAAGGTACCTCGGAGAGCCTCTCAATTGGAAGGCAGCCTCCCAAGTGCTGACACAGGGGCCTGAATAATTACCTATACGATTTTGGGGGGGGCTCCTTATTATAACTATAGGGCCTGAATAAGTACCTATACCATTTTGGTAACTTATTTTTACTTACAGTATAACGGGCCTCAAGACCCTTGTCGAATTATTACGGCCCCTATATTACTCCATAAGCCATGGGCTCTCAAAATGCTCTTCGTCTTGAAATTTCGGAGCTGCCATGCAAAACATCCGAACCAGTTTTTGAAAGAGCGAAAGCATTTCGGACCAGTTACCAAAGCCTCTTGCCTGTAGAGAAAGTGTCTGCTGGGCGGATGTGGATCTCCAGGGTGAGGCAGTTATTGCTTCTCTTGCAAAGCTCCTGGAAGTCTGCTGCGCAATCACAACTCCCGCAGAATAGAGTGGGTGATCAAGTGCTGTTGGGGAACACGCGCTAGTGAGTAAGCCAAACAAGAGTCAACGGTTTCATGTGTGCAACACATCACAGCAGCTTGAGCCACAGTTTTTGGAGGCACTTCAGCTTCTTCCCGGCTGATAATGAAAGTATGAAACCCCAAACCATGAACCACGGCCAGTTCTCGTGTTTCTTGTGATGACGGTTATGGTCATGGTGACGACGACGAAGATGAACAGGACTCACTGCCATCCGTAGCGACAGTGGTGTTTATGATGGTGAGAACCGAGAAGACGAGGATGCTGATGATGACGATGATGATGATGCCGTTGATGATGAGAATGAGGATGATGGTGATAGCGCTGCTGATGGCGACGGCGATTCGTGAGCTGTTTTGGTTAGTCGAGTTACGTCTTAACCTGACCATCACAGGTAGCAGCGACCGTTGTTGTTGCAGCAACATCATGAGATGTGGCATGCGACGGGATGTCCTGCTTCCAGCTCTTCAGCCGGAGATCATCCGTTCCTCAGCGAGGCAGCATTGATCCATTGCAGAAGCCCCGGGTCTCAGGGTCGAAATTTGCAGGGCAGTGGTGCAGATCCCTGGTCTCAGCTCCGCTCGGCCGTTCTCCCAGGTGAACGCGACATCCGCCTCCTGTCTTGAGCTTGAGCATTTCGGACTTAGGGCCTCCTGTGCCGGTCTCGCGAGGGACGCTCCGAAGACAGCTACCTGCAGAACTAATCAGGGTTTCTCGTTCGGTCAGAACGAGGGCAAGTGCGTGCATGATCCTGGATTTGAATGACACAGCTCCAGCTTCCTTGCGGTCCGCTGGATGCATCTTCTTCAGAGCTCCTAACTACCCCTGAATCCTGAACCAGCAATACATATGTACAAGACTTGCAACACTGACGAGAACAAAGACGATGACGGCGAATATAGCAAGAAGAAGTGGAAGCAACAAAGTAACGTTAACGAGAGCGAAAACAAGAAGCAAGGAATCATGGAGAATGCCCGAAGTAGTCATGTCGTTCATAGGGGTAACAGCAACAGTATCCTTCGCAACAGTAGCAAGAAGATACAAGAAGCAATCGCAACCAACAATGCCCCCGAAGATCTGCTTGCCGATTCGATCCTCGTAGTGCAGGCCTCAGGCGGTTTGGCCAAGCAGAGCATGGGTCTATGTGGGTTGCGGCACGGGCTCGGCATGAAGGTTGCGAGACACAAATCTTGAACTCCTGCGGTGCCAGCAGTCTGGACTGCAAACACCGCAGTCACTGGCCGCTCTGTACCGAGGAACACAAGGACACAAAAACTGGCCAGAAATCAATTGCACTCTCAAACACAGAGACACACACACGTACACGCACACAAGCACGCACACAGCCGCGCACGTGCGCATAAGTGCACACAGACCGGCTCAAAGGCATGTGCACGTATGCACTTGGAAAGCCGACCTTCAATATGTTTCGATCCATGAAGCTGATGATGATGATGACGCTGAGTTCGACGAAGATGGTGGTAGTGCTAGTGATAATGACGGTGATGATGACGATGATGACGAAGCATAATGATGTGATCCATACGTGGAGAACGAGGAACGGTGTGGGACGCGGTGAGTCGAAGGATGAACAAAGGTTGATGCCCCCGCAGCCGCCCGAGCCTGGGACCAAGGTACATGTGAATGCAAGGTCTCAGGTGAAGCTGCCCCACTCCTCAACGTACCCTCCTGGTCCACTGACTTGCGATGGCGGTGATCCCTGCACCCATGGCCATGATGCCACCGACCCGCACACAAACATAAAAAAAAGCTTAAACCATGAGCCAGACGCGACAATCCAGGTCCCTGGCTGTTGCACACCGGGCTTGCTTCCAGCACCGTCTCCAAAAACTTTGGCACCTGGTGCTGTGAACGTTGTTATATTCCTTTCCTCGCCGGTATTATGATTCTCATCATGAATGTCCTCTTGTAATTCCGCATGCCAACAAAATGACAGGATCAAAACATGGGCCCTTGTTGTCCCAACCTCTTGGTAAAAGCATGACCTTCAAACGGGATTTGGTAGGACGACACTTGGCTGGTATCTAGTCAACAAGCTTCTTTTGTGGTTTGAAACCTGCACGTGGTCGGAACCTTCAGGCCGTAAGAGTTTCAAGAGCAATTTGCTCGTTTAGGGCTTAAGATATCGGGTTTTGTGGTTTTGGGATTTTGGTTTAGGCAGAGGCCAGTAACATGTTCGACTTTCAGAGTTCGGGATTGCCCAAATCACCGACACCGCAGACAGAAATCGCTGCACTAGCCAAAAGGAATGATATATGTTCTGAAGCGCACGCACTCAGGCGCCGGTAATGGAGGCACGAAGGGCCTTTCCCTTTCAAGAAATCACAACAGAAAATAGGAGCAATGCCTGTAGTAGTTGTCTCCTAGTTGTCTGTTGTCCTAGGGGGAGGGTATCAATAGTACTTCGGGAATTTTTGATCCTGGTCACTGGTCCTTCTCCCGCAGAGCAGAGATGTTGCGATGTGTGTCTACGCTCGTTTCCGCAGGAAGACAGTAACGTGGAAAGCGCTACTCGTTCTGCCAAACCGAGCCCTTCAATCTGCTGTCATGCGAAGCGTGGCAAACATCCCATTCTGCGTGCTCTACGTCGTCAACATCGTTGTCCTGCCGTAGCAGTGTCACAGGTACCGTATTGCGAGAGCTCCGATAGTGTTTACGTCGTCTTCTGGTACAAATACTGCTGGTACCTCTGTAGCGAAGGACCCCGGCAGCAAAGGACACCAAGACCACCAAGAGCCCCAGAACCGGCCGACCTCAGGTCGAAGTTGCCTGACGCCCCAAACCCCAAGAATCCGGCTCTAAGAGCCCTGAGCCCCTGAGCCCCTGAAATGAAAATGAAGGAACTTGCGCTTGGCCTCAGAGCTCGGGAGGAAGATGATGTTCTCCGGGTACAGAGATCGCAGGATGAAGATCTCAGCTCTGCAGCATTGGCTGCACGTACCGTTCTCAAGGCTGCGAGAGATCAGCACATAGCAGCAACAGGATTCGGAGTAGCAACAGAAGTATCAGGTAGTGGTAGTGGCAGCAGGAGGAGGAGGAGGAGGACATCAACAAAGCAGTAACAAGTGGCAGTAGCACCGGCGGCAGCAGCAGCACCAATTGTCATCAATAGTTGTGAGTTGTGAGGGCATTGCTGCGGATGTTGCTGCAGTGTTTACACTGGCCGTGTTGGAACCGCCATGCACAAGCAAACACTATGGCCACCCGCCCCACTCCAGCAACATCATAGTCATCGTGCCACTATCACAAAATATTAGAATTCAGGGCCAGGGTGTCGGGGGATCCCGACACCCTCAGCCCTAAACCCCCCCCAGCTCCCGCAGAGCATCGAGGCCGAGACGGTGTGAAAAACCGCCCCACCCATGCAAAGTATCGCCTAGGCCAAGCAATGCAGATCTTTCTGAGCAGTCTTCTGCAGGGTTCTTGAACTGTGGGTTCCTGCCTGTCTTTAAAGGAGACGGGTCGTTCTTTGCAGCAACCTGAGTAAGGGACCCCTTCAAGTTCCCAACAGGATTTCCAATGTAGGGAATTACTCAAATGCATTCCTGCCTCAGCGACTGGAATAAGGCTTGGACGGCTTGCCCATCATCGGGATGATAAGGATAAACTCGCTGGTTGGAATGGAAGGCAGGGCAGTGAAGCCAAGAGTTAATGACACTTAACTATATTGAAGCTCCGACTTCCTCAACAAAGTTCTTCTAGCTGAGATGACAAGACGATATCGGGATCCTTATGAAGAGAAAAGAGCCTCCATTTAGCTTAACAAGCCTTGCTTGTTGATCAACACTTGGCGTCTGCGGCATAGGAACTATTCCCGCTTCCTGAATTACAGGAGGCAATACACACTTTCGGCACCAAAAAAAATTACGCTCTAGAAACCCACACAAACCATAAACCCTGAACGTAAACTCTGGACCCTAAACCATAAACGTTATGAAAGACCTCCATAAACAGTCCTCTCAAGGCTCCGGCGTGCGTGAGCCCAGAATTCGCGAAGCACCAGAACGAGAAGCCCAAGCGAAACATCTCCTGCTTGAAGGATTTAGAGGTTCTCCTTCTGATAAAAAAGGGGGTCACTAGAAGGGTTCGTTTAAGGGTTACCATGAACAGTTACAAGAAGAGTTCATTATTTCGGGCTTCGGGCTGAGGGTATATCATACTTCAAAGTGGCGACTATAAGGAAACAGTATTACTAAAATCTCCTGCTTAATGGGGTTCAGACCTCCTTTCAGGATCACGAGGGCTAGGGTTCGGGGCGCAGGGTTGAGGATTTAGGGGTCCGAGCTTCCGTTTTGACAGCTTTGGAGCTTCGGATGTCCTCGGTTTGGTGCGCAAGGTCCGATTTTTATGGCCTTTTCCAGTTTGGGATTTGGCCCGGGCCCTAGTACACCCTACCAGCGGTAGACCCTAACCCCCCCAAAACTATGGACCCTGACCCTTTGACCGAGCATTTCACACGTTGTCGAACGAATCGAAACCAACCACGTCCGGTAAATCGCAAAAAAAGACCACGGCTCATACGGTATAGAGCCCTCGAACTGCAAACCCGACACGCTAAGCTGTCTTGGTCCTTGTGCTCCGAGTTGGGACAGTATGGCCTCAGAGGTTCAAGCTTTGTAATAGAACTTCGCGGGTACGGTTTAGATAAAAGGGCTGTGGGCATGTTAAATTGAGGCCCAGGCTTTTGGCTGGAGGGTTTTCGGCTCTCTAACTTGCGGTTTGTTGGATAAAGCCTCGGGAATGTATTCAGGATCTCTTTTGGTTGGGGCGTTTAGGGTTGCTGGCCCATGGTTTGAGGTTGGGTTGATCGTTCTTTTCTTGGGATCGCTTCTCAACTTCATAACAAAGGCTCGAGTCTGAGCTGAGGGCTGAGGGCTTCCATCTGTCAGGTTCGGGATAACAGGGTGGTTGTCAAAATGGTGGTCCCCTTTTGGGTACCTTTAATATTAGGTGGGGTATTGTAATCAGGACCCCAAAAGGGACCCTAATATTGACAGCCACCCAACAGGCTAGAGACCCTGCACTCTGCACACCAGAGATCCCTCAACTGCTGGCAGGTGGCGCGTAGAACCAGCCGCCTCCAACTCCCCATCGTATGCAGAGGCTCGGGCTTAACATAGGGCCATTGTACTAAAATGAGTATAAGGATCCCCCAAAATAGGGCCATTATGCTATAATGAATATAAGGATCCCCCAAAATAGTATAGGTAAGTATTACGGCCCCTCTATTGGAGGTTTGGAGTTCAGGTTTGACGTTTGCGGCTCAGGCCAGCCTGAACCCAAAGGCACAGCAAGCTCATATAGGGGTCTTAACAGTTCGAACACGGCTCTGGGGGTAGACATTCTGACACGGCAATATGGGCACTATAAGATGCTATGATGACAAACTATTTCGAGCTGTGCTCCAGTTTGAGGCTGGGCTTAGGGCTCTTCTGTCAACGATGACACGTTCTGGTAACCGAAGCCCCAAGAAACTCCTTACATGTCTCCCTTACATCTCGCCCCTGTCCACGCTAACCCCCTGCAACTCCAAACCCTCGAAGATCCCGAATCCCCCATGCGTCTCTCCTAAGCTTCAGTTCTTGTGCCGGCACGCTCCGTACCACTGCCAAAACTGAGCAGTGAGGACAAGGCCCTTGGGCAGCTCTGCGCCACAACTCGCACCATGCAGATCAAGACATAAAACACCACGAACTGGCAGGCCGGTATATAGTTTGCTCTCTTTTGGAAACTGATTGAAATCAACTCATGGATGAAGGGCTCAGTCAGGTCCTCACTGCAGGAGAGAAACAAACACTGATGACGATGGCGATGATGACGATAACAATGATGATGATGATGACTATGAGGGTGATACCAGCAGTTGTCATCCAGCAGCCGGACACTTGTCCCCATACCCCCAAAAGCCGAAAGTCTGTCAAAGGTCCATCTGCTCAAGGTCTTCAGTCTCAGTCGAGAGCCGGGGTGCCACAGCTCGGGGTCAGAAAGCCATGAATCTCTAGCAGCTCGCTGAAGTTTGCTGAAGCTTGTTCGGGACTTTATGTTGCCAAAGCTCGCCAAACCTAAAACTCCTAGACCCACAACGCCTAAACCCTAGAAACCTCAAGCCCGAACAACTGACGCCAAGGGCATACAGCAAACCCAAGCCTCTAGTCAGCCCTAAATGCTACCATAGGAGCCTCTGCGATTACAACTATTATAGAGTTCTAGCATAATGTACCACCAGAGTCCTGTTCAAACTACTCAGGCCCTTGAATTGCACCGTAAGCCGGAACAAGACCTGGCCTCGGCGAGGGGAGCCCCAAGCGCTGAGGTACCAGAGAATGCCCTCGGGGCGACTTTCAGGCTTAGGGTTTTGGGGATCCTGGTTGTGGCTTTAGGGCTGAGGGTGTTTAGATTTTGTGCCGTGGCGTTCAAGGCTTAGCGGTTAAAGGGTTTTGGTCTAGGGATTAAGATTCAAGAGGTGCTCGGATGTGGAAGCGCCACCGCCACCACGCACCTGCACTACGACGAGGACGACGACTACTGCTGCTGCGACAACTGCTACAACTGCTGCTGCTAGTACTACAACTACTGCTACTGCTACTGCTACTGCTACTGCTACTGCTACTGCTACTGCTACTGCTACTGCTACTACTACTACTACTACTACTACTACTACTACTACTACTACTACCACCACTATTGCCACTACGACCACTACCACAACCACAACCACAACCACTACCACTACCACTACCACTACCACTACCAGTACCACTACCACTACCACCACGACGACGACGACGACGACTACTACTACTACCAGTACTACAACCACTACTACTACCACTACTACTGCCACTACCACTACTACTACTACGACGACGACTGCTCCCACTACTCCCACTACGCCTACTACTCGTACTAGTCCTGCTACTCCTGGTACTGCTACTGCTCCTGCAATTTCTACAAACTCCTACAATTACAACTCCCACTACTCCTACAACTCCGACTCCTTCTATTCGTACTACTACACCCACTACTCCTACTGCTGCCGCTACCGCCACTGCTACTGCTACTTCTGCTACTACTCTCCTTCTGCCACTACTGCTAGCATGTACTGATTATTGCCGTTAGTCGCTAGTTAATTGCACTAGTACCAGTCATCTGAACCACCCACTTCAAGCTCCAAAACCGACCCAACACGCTCACAGAGTACCAACAGCAGCAGGGTGCCAAAGACATGGCAACGAGCTGCCGCAGCAAGCCTCGCAGACTTCGGCAAGATGCTCCGTGCAGCTCATGCGAAGTATCGTGATTGCTTAGGGCTGCAGGGTTAGGACACACAGGATGATGAAGCTTGTCGGCCACGGGATTGCTGTTGAGCGCAGTCTTCAATCCAGAGTTTCGCGGTGACTCCTAATTTTCGCCCATGTGCGGCCACAGGATCTAAGTCCAGGACGTTGAGATTTACACTTCAACTGCACGGCTTCGGGGCTTCGGCAGTCCCGTGTCGATCCAGGTTGGCACACGTCTATATAGTTCATGCCCCTTCAAGCAGTGCCGCAGTACTCATCTTGGAATGCTGACTCAGAGCTGCTTGGACTTTGTAAGTTCGGATGGCAAGCCCCAAACCTGCAATCCTTATCTTAGAGAGTCTCTCTCCTCAGCAACCGTGGTCTCAGGTCGGGTACTGAGGATGCTAAGCTTTTTCTGGGCCTTGCAATCGAAGCCAACAGAGACCAGCCATAAGGCTTCTGAAGTGTTTGCGGCTTAGGGCGGGTGCCTGATTTGTCTTCTCAGCTACATCTTGTGCACCTTGCAGCAGGGCATCGCGCGAGGCAGGCGGGTCCAGGTCCCACCAGCCTGGGATTGCTTGTGGTATGGAGAGCTGAGAGGGATCTAGGGTTGAATGTTTCAAGTTTAATGTTCTGCTCACTCTCGTGTTATTTCTCTGGGGATAAACTCGCAGCATACCAGCATGCCAAACGTGTCAACCTAAAGCAGCATCAATGGTAGTGAAAGTGATAAGGGGAACGATCGTGTCGCGACAGCAGTAGAAATTAGTACTGGGCAGTGGGTAGTGAGTAGCGTGTAGTGGGTAGTAGGCACTAAGAAAATGCCGTAGTAGTCGTTGTCGTCGTCGTCCTAGTAGTAGTAGTAGTAGTAGTAGTAGTAGTAGTAGTAGTAGTAGTAGTAGTAGTAGTAGTAGTAGTAGTAGTAGTAGTAGTAGTAGTAGTAGTAGGAGGTAGTAGAGGTAGTAGAGGTAGTAGAGGTAGTAGAGGTAGTAGAGGTAGTAGAGGTAGTAGAGGTAGTAGAGGTAGTAGAGGTAGTAGAGGTAGTAGTAGTAGTAGTAGTAGTAGTAGTAGTAGTAGTAGTAGTAGTAGTAGCAGCAGCAGTAGTAGTAGTAGTAGTAGTAGCAGTAGCAGGAGCAGGAGTAGTAGCAGTAGTAGCAGTAGTAGCAGTAGTAGCAGTAGTAGTAGTAGTAGTAGCAGTAGTAGTAGCGGCAGTCGAAGTAGCAGAAGCAGTGGCAGTGGCTGCAGCAGCAGCAGCAACAGCAGCAGCAGCAGTCGCAGTCGCAGCCTACACGGGACAGCTCGTATTGACAGACTGTCCAAAACAACATCCTAAGCCGTACACTACCCAGTCCTCAGGAGGGAAGACATACAAACCAAGGATCGGAAACCTTTCGAAATCGAAGCTAGACTCTGGTGGGAGGTGCACCCCGACCCCCTTAACCTCAAAGCCAAAACTACATCCTAAACAGTAAACCCCACAGACTGCAGGACGATGCAAAGCCAAGGTACGGTAGCAAGCACCAAGCCCCACTATCAGGCCCACCTCGGCCCAAAACACCAAGGAAGCAGCAGGCTTCTAGTTCAAGGCTGCGGGCTTCGGGTGTGGGATCAGCGCCTGGGGTTTCCTTGCGGTTTGGTTCTTAGGGTTTCGGGTTTGTGGCTTCGGCTTCAGGTATCACGCTGTGGGAAGTTGCAGAATTGGTGGCAACGGAAACTTCGCAGTGCAATCCTTTTGCTCCCTAAACCGCTCCAACTCTCGAAACCCTGGGTTAAGATGCCCAAACCAACTCAACTCCGACCTGAAAGCTGAATAAGTGGTCATAGCATCCCTTCAAAAGTCCCTACATGAGTACAACTACAATACATGGGAGCTTCCGAAAATAGGGGCCCTTAAGTTATACCCTGAATAGTAGGATCCTCATTATAAGGACCCAAAAATAAGGTACCCCGAACTTTCGGAAACTCTAAACCCTAAACTCTTTAGAGAGCCCTTACAGATACTTTTAAGGAACCCTTCAAGGATCCCGCTAAATGAACCCTAAACTCCTAATTTTCGGAAACTGCCATATGCCCTAAACCCTAAACCCCTACACCCTCAACCCCTAAACCTTAAACCCCACGTTGAGACAGCAGAGAGAGGCCGGACGGACTAGGGAATCGGCCGCCCACCATGCAGCCATTCCCAGGGCCTGGGTGCTCAAATAACGTTTGGGGTTTAGAGTCTAAGGGTTTAGGGTTTAGGGTTTTAGCGTTGAGGTGTGTTTTTTGGCGCTTGGGGTTTTAGGGTTTAGAGTTTTAGGGTTTTGGGTTGTGGGATTAGGGTAAGGGTTTTAGGCTTAGGGCGAATATTGGGGCCTCAATAATTATACTAGGCTTGTCTTAGGGTTTGGGAACTAACCTACCATAATGATAAAGGGGGCTATAAGCGAACAAGATCCCTCACTGTCTAGGCTCCTATAGTGCGGGGTCCAGCGGTTTGGGTTTCAGGATTTAGGGGTTTGAGGCTTGAGGCGTCAGGCGCTTGGAGAGTCAGGGTTGAGTGTGTTGGAGCCACCAAGACGAGCGGGTCTTGTGGACACCTAATATGGGGCCTTAATAATTAGGATAGGATTTTGGAGCCCATTATACTAATTTTAAATACAATAAGGAGCCCCCAAAATAATGCAGGTTACTATTTAAGCCCCTGAATTAAATATCAATCTCTGCATTCTCTGAGGACCAAAATGCTAGAAGCTGCTAGAATCTCACCGGCCTCATTCAGGGAGGGGTGGGATGTGCAGATCCGGGCACTGCATGGACTCGCAGCTCCCGGTTGACAGGAAGCTCTCAAAGATGAGTCACACCGGAAGCTGCAGGCACAAAGTAAAAACCCTGGGTCTCAAACCCTAGATCCCAAAACCTACACCTATCTTCACAGGCCACTGAACCCCTTGGCCTGAATCCTGGAAAATGAGAGATAATTCGCAACGTAGACCTAGCGAGGTTGAAATCAAACTGAGGCCCCGACCACCAGCTGCACCCAGTCACCCGGACCCCCATTTCGGAAGGACTCCACCACGTCTATGTGCACCGGCCAACCATTCTCCTGAGCTGCGATTCGGGTGTCGCAATCTCTGCGTGAGTTGCAGTGTGATGCAGGGCTTCAGAGATCAGTATTGTAGCCAGGATCCAAACGCCAAACACGGTACAGGGTCAGCCCTCACCCCTCATGGCACATGCTAGTCGGGAGCAAGATGCTGCTGTCTTTGCCCAGATACCCTAACCACGCATTTGGCAAGTTGACGAGCAGAGTGGTTGCATGGCGCTCAGAAACGCGAAATCGCCGTAGGCTCTCGGGCCATGCAGTTGGGTTGCTGTGGTATTCCAGACTTGGAGTTTAGATCACATAATTTTGAGCTTTTCCCCCATGTTCCAAGCGAAAGAAAAGGAGAGCCAGTCATTCTTACCGGCTGCAAACTTCAGAAAGCTCTCACCCGGCCTGCAGCCTGTGATCATAAGCCACAGCCATGGGGTCGCATTGGAGGAGGGAGTTAGACTTCGGAGCCTTAAGGGTTTAGGGTTTCTAAGGGTAAAAGGATATAGGGTAGGGGTCCCCATTAAGGGTCCCTCCTTTTCCCCTTTGAGGGTTCTGGCCCTGGCAGTGGCAGGCAAGATGCGTAGACGACGACATCATCAGAGACGTTGCAGGGTGCGATTTCGTCATAGTCTCTGCACAGAACCTGCAGCACGCAGCTAGGAGTGAACTCCGAGGCTTTTGCTGGGATTTAGATATTTTGTCAAGGCTATGGAACCCCCTCCAACCCTGCCGTATACTAAGTTCTACTCCCGTACCAGGAACCCTTCAAATTCCAACTATACAAGACTCTAAACTCTAAACGCTAAGCCCCACACGCCTATGTACCGCCAAAGCCCTGCACCCCCAAGTTCAAACCCTGAAGCCCAAAACCTTTTAATCCTGAACCTATTGCAGCTCAGATTTCCTGTGCTCTTCGTATAACAGACAGCACAGGCCCCATAGCGGCAGAATTACGTTACATTCCAAAAGACGAGCTCCGGTACGCGAGATCGGGCTCAGGATTCACACAACCGGGCTTCAAGGTTGGAGGCACTTCCCAAGAACTCTGCAGAAGTGGGTGGGCTGGAGCTTAAGACTCAATTGAACTCTAACTCTAGGAGCCACAATGGGCTTTAGACCTTCATCAAGTCGCTAGTCCTGAACCGAAAGGCCTCAGTGGGGGATCCGGCATCCTACTCCCAAACAGACCTCCGTCTGCAGCATGCCAAAAGAGAGCTTGTCCCAGTCCTCGGTGCACAGGGCCCCACATCCGAAACCAGAAACCCTGTGGGCTCAGGCTCGGGTGTAAGTTGATTGGACCCCAAGCTGCGGCCGAGACACCAGACCCCATGTCAAAGCGTAGCAACCGAACACAAGGAACGAGAATAGCAATCTTACATCCGCGAATTCATGACTGGTGACTACTATTGAAATGATGGTGTTCGTACTGCGAATGCAACTGCGGGCATTCCCTAGTCTTTACGAACCGGGCAACTGGATCTGCTAATGCAATAGTTTATCACTTGTAGGACTGTAAGAAAGCAATCATGACGATGTGATTCTTGTCTATGTACCTTCAGTTTATCTATCTCAGCTGCGCTCTTCCGACACCAGATAGGGGACCCTAATATACTACCCTAAATCGTAGGATCCTTAATATTAACGGGACCCCAAAATCAGGTAGTGCACCACTTGGATTTGAATCTCCCCGCCCCTCAAATCCAGAAGCCCAAGCCTCCCGAAAGAGCTCCATGGCCTTAATACTTACTGAGGACTATACCATTATTCCCATAGTTTAGGTATTATTATAGTATTGCTATAATACTACCTAAACTATGGGAATAGTGGTATCGTCCTTATTATTGGTCATGCAGGATTTATATAATCAGCCGTAGCACAGCCCTTTTCCTTCAATGAAACTCTGCTTGAAGGATCATGGGACTTAGTAACTAGGGTTATTATTGGGGTAACGATACTTATAATTACTTATAACCCAAATTAAGGGGCTTATAACTATAGTTACCAAGTCCCATGATCCAAGTATTTTAGGGGTTTATAGTTGTTCTAATTATTAAGGCCCCTGCCCCGATTCTGCGACAAGTGTCTTGCACAGGCGTCAGGTCCCCTTTCAGCACACATGTCGCCGGGTTCCTCAGTGTCGGATTTAGTTTGCGGCATATGTGTGGTTGTCAAAATTAGGGTCCCTTTTTGGGGTACCCTAAATACTAGGTGCCGACTATGATAGGGACCCCAAAAGGGACCACAATTTTGATAACCACCCATATGGCTTCGGGTTGGGGCTTGGAGACTAAGGATGGGGGATTCGAGCCGTACTTTAGCACAACCTCCACAAGAAAGGCTCGGTGAACTGCTTGAAATCGCACAGCACCTTAAACAGGGGAAGAAGAAGCCGTCAGGCAGTCTTCTAAGCCTCTAAGCACTTGTTGTAGGAGTTGTGTCTTCCGTGAAGGGAGGGGCGGAGAGGAGCAGACGACGGTCGATCAAGACACAGCCAACCTCAAGTTACCAAAAACTTGACTCCAAGCACTCGCGCGATGGTCACTCCCACATGGCTGCGGAAACACAAACATAATACAAAATACTACCAGTATCATAAAACCTAACAAAATATAATATAACATATTATAACTTAACATAATACACTGTAAGTCGGAACCTTTCAGCTAGCCCAAGCTGCCCGAGGAGGATGTCTTCCTCCGGGTAGCAGGTCACCGAGACGCCGAGGCTGCCATCCTTCCACGGCCAAGGCCAAGGCTCTGCAGGTCTCCAGTGCTCTGATGGCTCATCCGGGCTATGAGGCTGGGCTTTAAGGCTTCGGGGGGTGCTCGTGGCATCGGCTGTGTGGGATTCGAAACACAGGGGGCGGATCAGGGCGGAGTCTCTGTCGCCGCGACGCTTTAGGGTCGCCTGGCAGCAATACCAACAGGGAGACACAACCTCTCACTGCCAACTCCCACATCACTTCATAGCAACACTTTGCAAAATCTTGCTGGTTACCGCAATGTGCAAGTTCGATGCAGAAATAGCTACAACATTGAAACCCTCCCGTAAGCTCCGGCAAGCCCGAAGCCGGAACCCGAATGTACTCAGGGCTCACGTTTAGTGTTTCCCGCGCCTCAAGAGTCGCATTGTCGGTGGTGTTGCTGTCGTTGCTGTCATTGCTGTCGTTGGTCTCATCTGAGGTGTTCTGGGATGTTGTCCTGCAGAACGCGACGTGAAGCTTGGGGTGCAGAGAGCTTGAGGACTTGTAGGATTCCTGCAGACAGATCCACCTGAAACAGGACAAGTCTGGGCCTCGATTTAGGGAAAAGCTGGAGTCTGAATCCAAGAGCTCAGTGCCGCGTCCACACTCGACAGAAAGAAGCTCCACTTCCGTTTGGAAGTCTACCGAACTCTTCATCTGACTCAGGCTATAGAAGTTAACAGCTCAGGGCTTGCATGGGTCAGGGCTACGGCATGACCAGAGCTGTTTAGGCTTTCAAGAGCCAACTCGGACTGGATGGTGTCAGCATGGTGTGTTTGGTAGAATTTATTCAGCAAAACCAGCATAAACCTCCGAAAACCACATGGAGACTGCAAACGCGCAAGAATTGCAGATCTGCAATCAGCACTCATGACCCTCTCTTCTCGAATTTGTTGCAGCGTTCCCCTGCACGGCCCAGTCCACGTGAACAGCCCCAAAAACAGCACGCAGTGCAGGCGACAGCGCATGGCCCCCCGGACATTCCGAAATCAGGGCTTGCGTGGCTTTTGGCGGTTGGGGCTCTGCCGGGAAGCTTGCAGCCGAGTTTAGGGTTTCGGCTATCGGGGTTCAGGGCTTTGTGCTAAGGGAGTGGACTCAGTCGGAGTTTGGGGATCATTGGTTGTTACTCAGAGGTCTGCAAGGTGAGGTAGGGCTCGAGGGTTCGGGGGTTTGGCTGGTTTGGATGCGGTTCGTAGTATGGAAGCTGCACATGGCCACAGGACATCCTCGTCGTTTTTGACAGCTATTATCGTCCTCCAAGGCCATGTCCGACTTGACTTTATCCACTCAAGTTACTGTCATCTTCTGATGCTACCTTACCAGTATCTGTTTGCACGGATGAAACTTCGGACTCTTAACCTCAGCAGACTTTGGGATGGGCTTAGGACTGCAACTTTTTGAATTCTAAACACCCTAAGCCCCTAAGCCCCAGGAGCAACTGCAAGACCCAACGCAGTAAGACTCTTTAAACCTGAGACACTCCGTTTTAGACATTCGGCCCGGTTAAAGATAGCTGAGGACTTTGTGAACCAGTGAGTGGTAAACGCTTGGCCTCGGCACCGCCAGCTCATCGCATGCCCTACAATACGCCCTCTCGCCCATAGCGGGCTGACTGACATGCACGGTCCAGATGGAAATTCGTCCCAGCGCACGGAGTTGTGCCAACCCGTTTATGGCGCCGGGATGGAGTCGGAGGGAATCAGAAGGGCTAGCCGGCGTTCACGGGGATTGTTCCTAATTCGAGCTCCCACGGAGTGTCACAGGTGCGAAAGCAGCTTAAACGCAGCCTTCAGAAGCAGACTACCGCGATACCGCGATGCTCCAAATCTCGATACGAGTTTTAAGACGATGGAAAGAATCAGGAGCGTCGGAATCAGCCCTCGACCATGCACGCGCCAACCCCAAAACTCCGGACCGAAGCCCATGGTCCGAAAGCCGAAAGCCCCAGAGACGACACGAGCGGTAGCAACCTCGCCTTGAGAAGAAAGAAATGCCGCCTGCAGTCGGATTTATTCAGTTCTTCAAGGTTCGACTTTGTCGGGGTGTCGAGCGGTTCGGGCCTTGTGAATTTTGGACCTGGGCTTTTAGCATGTTCGGACTGGGTGATACTGCAAGTAACCACGAGTAGTAAGGATGGTTTCAACACGACAAACGTCAACGTGTGAACAGCATTTGACCTTGAAGGTGTCCAGTCTCGAAGTCCTCTGCGAATTCCATGTTCAGTCACTTGCCTTGGGTCCATGCCCGAAGCACCAAATTGCATGCACACCTCAGAGGCCCTAAAACCACGACAGCTCTTAACACTTGCAGCCCTAATTCCATTCCAGATGCCCCGTACCCTGGTCCCTGCACACACTGATCGCCCCAACCCGTAAACCCCGAACCGCCACAGCCCCAGAAGCCCTTAAAAAGATCTTGAAGCCCCAAGCCTCAAGACTCCAAACTCAAAAACACCCTAAACCAATGTGTATACAGACATGTGTGCGTGTGTTTGCACACATGCTTGTATACATATACACGTTGTTTCTTTTTCCATGTATCCGAAAACCGCTGAACCTCTCTACAGCAATGACAGCCGAACGGCATTTTTTCCAGGTTCTGCCGAGCTGCTGCCACTGCCAGCAGACCCCAGCACCGGCGGCCTTCGGCTGCACGCGCCGCTGCCTGGGGAGAGGTTTTGGGTGAGCTAAGGCTTGGTGTCTACCATCAGGGCTTTGGGGTTTAGGGGGAAGGGGGGGAAGGGCTTTTAGGGGTTTGGGGTTTAGGGGTTTGGGGTTTAGGGATTAATCTTTCGGGGTTTAGGGCTTTGGCGTTTAGGGGTTTGGGGTTTTGGATTAGGCTTTGGGGGTTTGGGGTTCCCTACGCCCTACGGCCCCAGCTGCAATGAACTTCTGCCTTGGTCACCAAAGGCACCTCGAGGTTTCCCCAACTCTTCCTGTACCCCTGAACCTCTTCAGCCCTAAACTTCCTAAACCCTAGGCGCGGAATTGAGTCTCTTCAACCATAAGGGCCATAGACCTTAAAACGTCAACGCGAGGCTCAAAACTGAACCTAACAACACTCTGCAGACTAAACTGCAAACTGTGCGCCCAAAACAGTAGAAACCTGAAGCCCTAAGCCCTACAAAACCCAAGACTTTACTCTGAAAATCTCAAGCCTTGAACCAAACCGGGACTCCGGGCAAATCCATAAAGCCGAAGCGGGCGGTCTCTCCCCCGGAGAGCAGCCTCGGATTTGTCGTCGAAGGATGCCAAAATAATTCTCAGTAGGGTTGTAGAGCATATTCTCAGAATTTGCAATGGGGAACCCAGGAGTTACTCTCTTCATGACAAGCAGTGCCATGTGCCTGTTGCCATGAGGAGTATCACAATGCTGATAACGGCGATGTCGATGATGACTATGACTGATGATGACGACGGTATGATGAAGGCGAATCAGAACTCATGAGGAGCCGTTTACAGCTCCCAGTGACAGCATTGTTCGGTGTGTTGCACTTGTCGTCTTCCCTTCTGAACATTTTGCACCATCTACCTACCGATGGTGATGTTGCTCCTTTCCTTGGCACTGTTCAGGTTGCATCATTGCTTCATGTGCCGCATGGTTAAACGCATTACTATGGTCCTGCGTGGTGCCATCAAGACTCCCTACCAGTTTCTATTATGACTTCATTTCGCCGTGCAGTGTCGTCGACGTCCTTCTGCGCCCGCTGTTACTGCAAGGACTCTCATTCCTTACAAGACTGTTCGGACAGTTATGCAAATGATCGCTGCACTTTCAAGCTTTCCTTTTGCAGCGAGTGCACGACGGCAGGCAGGCCCTAGAGACCTTAAGCCTTACTACTTACTACTGAGTGGCATCGTCCCGAAACCTCCTTCCTCAACATCCCGACCACCATTCCGAGAAGCCCCCAAAACTCAAACTTGATGCTTCGCAGTCGCAGCGACGCAGATGCACGCGGCAGCAGCCTGTGCAAGCAGCGCTAGATGTCTGCGTGTAGGACAGGGTGTAGGGCAGCTGCCGAAGATCCGAACGTGGTCACGGCTATGCTTGCCCAGGTATTGAAACGTTAAGCTCTCCATCAACAAGTCTAAGCCTACCTGCACCTCGAAATCCTGCACACCACAACCTGGCTTGGGCCAAAGGGAAAGTCACTGCTATACATAGGCACTGGAGCGTTATGTGTGGCTACTACCAGGAAATCAACCATCACCTCCTCCACCACCACCACCACCACCACTTTCTCTACCCTTCGCCCAATCGCCTAGGTGGGTGCGTTTACCTTGGGCCCCGGGCGCGAGGACGTTCGGCTCCACGAACGCCAGCCTCAAAGTCTCTGCTACCCTGTCCGAAATGGTCTATATATATATATATATATATATATATATATATATAGGTTTAGAGTGCATGGAGGCCAAAGACAGGATGTGTGCACTGTGCGGTTCAGACTCCCTTGGGCCATGGTCTGGAAACGCTTCGTACACTGCAATCGTATTGTGCACGTGGCTACCAGCACGGGGTGCTACCACGATCATCTGCGTCATTGCTATATTACACTCGGTCAGTCACATGTGCAGTCGCGGTCACAGCTATCTTCGAAGAAGAGCAAGCCTATCGCCTACGGCTGAATAAGAGCAAGCATAATACCACTATCGTGGTAGTCATCGTCATTGTGGTTGTGGTCGTGGTTGTTGTAGTGGTAGTGGTCGTGGTACCAGTAGTGGAACCGGTCCCTAAACCCCCAAATTGTGAAACTAAAGAGAAGTCCTGTTGTCGACACGATTGCAGCCCAGCGGCGTGCCAACGGCTGCTTCCTGACGCTGCCCGGACAGGTCCAGCAAAGGGAGAACCTTGGCTTCTTTATTGGCTCCTTTGGCTAGGGCCTCGGACTGCGGCTCGAGATGGCCATGATGTGGGGAGGGGCTTAGAGGTTCAAGGTCCGGTGTTTGGGGTCGCAACACCATCCAGGACCATCCTGCGACCCCGCTTCAAAGGATGAGGGTTCCGGACTCCTGTTTTGGAGGGGCTGAAAAAGGCTCAGGCTAGGCTTCCAGCAGCTCAGCATGGAATCCCGGAAGCACTAAAGCCCCAAGTGTAGCTTGGATTCGGACTATCCTCCAAGAGCAGTACGCATCACTGCATAAACCCCCATGGCGTTGCTCTCGCTTGACCCCTGCTACAAGCATGCAACACGCTTTCCGAGTCCTATCCGGGCCCGAATCCGATCCTCTGAGACCCAGGCTGCGTCCGGATCTACCACCACGAAATCCTCGCAGCTGGGCTTCGAAGGTGATTGTTGTTTCCAGCGCTTCTCTTGACAGCTGGTATTGGGAATCTGATGTGCGTCTAGGCTTTAGGGCTGTGAGTTTCGGGCCTTGTGGCTTGGCGGCTTCATGTATTTTGAGGGATCTCAGAGTCCCAGGCCTCACAGCTGGATACACTTTTTATTGCAAGGCTGAAGGGACGAACCACGGCAAGATCATTTGTCCGAGCCATATCCTGCCCTTGATGACATTCTACATGTTTTGCTCAACGCAAACAGGTGCACAGCCCGATATGAAGTGCCAGCATTCCAGTCTCACTGACCTTGTGGTTTGTAGCTGCTGTGAACAAGATTACCTGAAACTCCTTGAGCCCTGAACTGAGGGTACGGGCTGCGGCGAAACAGACCGGTAAGTTTTCGTGTTGGGGGCTCACATGCTAGTTTAGGGTTCAAGGTCTGGGATGTAGGGCATGGGCTGCCGCTTAGTTTTTGGCTTTTTGGTTTGATACCGCGGGCCTCAATAGTTAGAGTAGGATTCTGGAGTATACTATACAACAAGTACATAAAGGAACCCCCGAAATTAGCATAGGTAATTATTACAGCCACTATGTCACTATGTTAGCCCTCAGGGCGGACCCGGCAGCCTTGATTTAGCAGCCCGCCTCAACTCCAAAGGTGGCTACTCGGTCATGGGTCAAAGGGTTTTTT